AAAATTCCGTCCCAACAGATGACACTCGCAAGCAACATTTTCAAACTGTGTCTGGAGGATTGCATTCATACAGGCGCACATTTTTATAATAATTACAAAAAAATAAGGTTCAATTCATTTTTAAAATAAATATCTTGTGATTTTTGAGATCACCTATTACGAATCTGATATTATCTTGTAAAACAAAATGGCTAATTCAAAATGAAACAATTTTAGCCACGTTTTCGTTGATTTGGGACTACTGGAGGAACTACAATAGAAGATACAAAGAGAATAATTGTTTATTGTTATTATAAAATTGTTATTTTGATATTGAAACATCCTAAATGAACGAAAGATTAAAAATACTTTCAGTCGAAATTTCAAAATTCAATTATTCAAGATTTTCATTTGACCTGTCTGCATAATCCTGATATATTGAAACATGCAATGTTTCAAGAGCACGCTCGGTTCAAGTTTAATCAAACTTCGAAAAGACTCTTCTCTTCCGGTACCTGAACGAACCAGATATTCTCCAATTTGCTATCCAAAATGAATCAACGAACCCACGCCAATGCGACAATCCAATTGGTTCTTTTTGACTAAATGCAAATATTTTTCATAAAACGAAAATATATTTTTCTTCCTTCTCTTACCCCCACCATTTCCGTTTGACTATTTCCAGCTATTTCACGATTGTCAATTATACAAAAAAAAAAAAAAAGTAAAGAAATATTAAAGAAAAATGCTTTTAAAAAAAAAAATAAAAAGAAAATCATTTGCTTTGTACTTGTTCATTTTTACGCGAATTTGCTGTTGAAGTTATTATTTTTAAGTTAAGAAAAATCAACTAGGTGAGAGAAAAGAAATAGATTTTCTAGATAGTCTTCTGTCACGGGGGGATAGTTGCTTCTATCATAGGAACTTTCTCGGAATGTTTCCTGAGAATACACAGAAGATGAGAAGCAAAGTGCTTCTATACTATCTTATCTCGTTCTCTTTTTATATCGTGGACAAACGATCAAAATAAAAAAAATATAAAAGAGAGATAAAAAGACCATTTACGATCGTTTCGTCATTTTATAAAAAATGTTTGTTAAAATCAATCAAATATTTTATTAGCTAATAAAAATATCTTACATAAGTAATATATATATATATTAACCCCCTTATTATATTATATATATGCAACCCTTATTAATATATATATATAATATATTTCAAAATATATTATTCGATCTCATATTTGGACAAAACTAAAAGTACACCCGGTATTATTACGTTCCCATATATCGTACGAAACACAGGCGTTCTAATTTTAATATTTAATTTTAAATTAACTGGAACTTCTTTTTTTATTGTAAAAAAAGTTACTAATTTAATTCAAAAAAAAAAGAAATAAATTTCACTTGAAAAAGTAGTAGATATATATATATATATATATGAGAAAGGATTAAAACGTAAAAAAAATATATATTCGAGTGTAGAGTAAAAGAGGAGAAGGGAAATAGAAAGCTTCGTTGATGGTTGAATTAAAAATCAAAGTTAGACACGCGGATGTTCTTATTAGGGATTAACTAAACCAAACGTCATATATATATATATATATATAGTTTCATTTTTTTACGATACAAATGATGGTGGTACTTGTAAATGCATATATATATACGTATATGTATATGTATATGTAAACAGTAAGGCGAGTTACCGTAAAAATATGTGTACACATTTTTAGGATAACCCAACCATGGATACTTGTTTGTGCTGGCTTTGGAAACTTTATGATAGTCGTAAAAGCCGAGGTGGATGGTAATATGCGATAAACCGTAGTAGTATTCGCCAAGTAGTTCCTTTCTGTATTTAAAATCGGAACGGAATGGCAAAGTGGAAAAGGCAAAAAAAAAGTACAATTGGAAGTGCGGATTGCGAAATGAGAAGTGGGGTGTCCGAAGAATACGGAGTAGGGTGGTCCGAAGAGTACGGAGTGGGGATATAAGGGGAAGAACAACGGGCGTGATTTAATTCGTCGACGTATCGACCAATCGGCGACCTGTCCACTAACCCGCGATCTTTAAAACACAATTTGCATCGACGACGACGACGACGACGACGACGACGAATGACCGTAGAAATTACAAATGCATTCTGATTAGTATGAACTTTTCGCAAGAGTTCGTTGGTTCGTTCATTGGTTGGTTGAATGGTTCGTTGGTCCATAAAAGTGGAAAAAAGAAGAAAGAAAAGAAAAGATATATATATATATATACGAACATAGAAAGAGAGAGAAAAATCTAGGAAAGGAAAAAAGGAAGAAAAAAGAAAATACAAAAAGATTTACTCTGGCTAATTGCATGAGATATACGATTGTTTCATGCATTCATGCAAGAGACAGAAGTCCAAACCATTGGGTAGAAATGGAAGCTGATGGTCTCTCCTTTCCTTCTTCCTTCGAGAATTGTCTGTTTTTACTTCCTTCCTTCTTTCATTCTTTCTTTTCGTATATTTATTTTAAGACCCGTAGTAGTGTCTTCGCGTACGATACGACGAAGAAGCACGTGGTGCTTAAAAAAAATAACCTGAGAATACTTGAAAAGAAAGATCGTCGCGAAATAGACGAAAACTCAAAACGAATTCGTTAGGATTGTGCTAAATCGTCAAGGGGTTTCTTTACCCTTCTATATAGTACATATATATATATATAGTATATATCGATTAAAATTCAGTCGGCGTGGCTCCTTGAAATTAATCGTTCGACGAGAAGAGACAAAAAGTAACATTGAAGAGAAAGATAAAGAGAAAGAGAAAACGTTATCATAGACAAGTATCGATCCTGAAGAAAATACGTCCGGACGTGAATAACGATTTCATGAAATTCAAAGCTCCTACCAGTACCACCACCACCACCACCACCACCATTATCGTTCCACGGTTTAAAGAAATAATCACCTTAGGAATAAACGGAAATACTGTTGATGATATTTTTTTCCTAGTAGATTTTGTTGGTTTTTCTTTCTTTCTTTTCTTTTTTTTTTTTATTTCTAACAAAAACTGACTGATTGACTGATACAACTAACGAAGATTATTCTCATTCGTAACAACTTTAATCATTTAACATACAATAACGTCTCGTAAATGTCCTTTTTTTCATGTGCCATTGTAGACTTTGACGAAAAACTCATATTAAAATAATGATACAAAATAAATGTACGATATTCGAGTTTGAGGATACGTGTAAATCAAATGGAAATAAATCATTGACAAATAATAATAATAATAATATTGAGAATGTAGTGAAAAAGGGTGGTGAGGGGGTGGAGTTAAACGATTAATGACTTTTTGCTCAGAAGAAAGAAAAATAAAAAAAATACTTTCAATCGATAAGGAATAAAAAGAAATGTGTGTGCGTAATACAACGAAGCATAACGTAACCTGCGTTAATTGATAAACGAGTGGTGGTGGTAGTAATGGTGGTAGTGGTGATGGTGGTGGTGGTGGCGGTGGTATCTTTCTATGTAAATATTTGTAACGCGTGTATTTTACTGCTACCCAATGATACATATTTCGAATGACGTTTTACGTTTAAAATCGGACAATCATGTATGACATCGTATATTTAATTAATATCGTCATTTTGTATTGTAACAAATACATTTGAAGATATTATTATAACAAAAAAGAAAAGAAGAAAGAAAAAAATAAACAACAACAAAAACAATATAAAATAAAATATTTACTTTTTACATAACCCCACCATCATAATTTACAAACAATCGATCATTTTGTTATAATATCAATAATAATAATAATAATTGAAATTTCAAAATGTATCATCCCTTAGATATTAAAATAGTTTTTTAATATAATAATACTTGTTCGTTAAATGCATTTGTAAACAGTTAAATTTGTTTTTGTTTTTCTTTTTCTTTTTTTTTTCCTTTGAACAATTTCTGTTTCCATCTCTCTCTCTCTCTCTCTCTCTCTCACACACACACACATACGTGATTTAATTTAATAGAAAAATTCTTTCGACTTTTGTTAAATCTGATTTTTCCTGTAAACTTATTCGATACGTATCCCAACCTTCCTACCCCTCTTACACATCTCTCATTCCATTGGTGAATTTTCTATCAAAGTTAGCCTGTATCAAACTCAAAATAAAAAAAAAAATAAAAAAAAACCCTCCTTTTTCTCCTCACTCACGCAACTTTAACTTCAACCCTTGTTTTTTTTTTTTTATCTATCCATCCAAACATCGCGTGGATGATTGATAGCTAAAAAAAAACATGGATTGCTGTTTGTTAGATATTTTTTTGTCTTTTTTTACACTACTCTTTATTTTTTTTTTTTTTTTCGTATACGTATTTCTCTTTTACTCATAACTTGTCTTTTTCTTTCTCCTTTTATCATACAAACTCATAAAAACAATGATTATATCAACTTAATTTCATTTGACATAGAAAACTTTAACCCCCTGTTTTTTTTTTGTTTTTTTTTTTTACTATTTTCTTAACTATTCATTTCTTTTTTTTTTTTAATAAAAATTTAATTAACATTGTGACAAATAAAAAAATGTTAAGAGATAAGAAAAAAAGATGATGATGAACAATTATTTATCAAACAACAGTTTATCATAATTATTTTATGTTATATAATATATATAAAAATATTATAAATTTGTCAACAACTTTAAATCAAACTTTAAACTCCCTCGAACCTATTAACCTATTAATATATTAATGGTTCAATTTAAAAAAAGTAAAGAGGTACTTTTAAATATAATTTACATAAAAGACAAACTCAAAAAGTTTGTTTTTCGAATGTTAAAACGCGCATATTATTTGACGATGACCAAATAGAAAAGCGCGCGTTTTTTGAACGCGTCTTAGAAGAAATCAACGACGTAAGATAAATAAGACAATTTCATTTCTAACCCATGCACTTTTAATGAAACACTTAATGAATGTAAATGAAATAACTGTAAAATATCTAAAAAAAAAAAAAGAATGTTATTTTACACTCACCTGCTGATAACAGCATCTGCAAGATAAACAAGATAGATCGTCGACGATTCATCATTGCGATCCCACGTTTGAAGGTTCTACATGAACAAGTGAACTTTTTTCTATGTTAATTTCAAATCTTGATATAACTTTTGAAATCAATCCAAATATATCTTCATCTATTTCTTATCGTTGATTTTATCCTTTTTGATATTTATACAGTATATAAGGTTCTTCCAATAGAAATCCTTTTAAGAAAAGCCACGCGTCCTTTCCACGTGGTTAAAACCACCGCACGGTGTTAGGGGGATGATTTTTTCCCAGGAAACAATTGTATCGTTGTAAAACTTCTGATCAACTAATTTCAAGGAAATTAAAAAGATTAAAATACAACAAACAAACAAACAAAAATATATATATATATAAAATAAATATAAAGAAGACAATATTTGTTAAACAAAAACCGAAAAAAAGCAATTGTCAATCCGAATGTTTGACGTTGATATCCCTTCCTTTCCTTTCCTTCTTTTCCGAATGAACCGTACGGACGAATAAAATGACAAATAATATGAATGTGAGCAAATAATGTGATTGGTGTTTTAAGAGAAAAGGAAGAGAGAGAGAGAGATAGAGAAGCTGCACGAGCGAAGTCTCGGCTTCGACTGGCGCGCGCTCCGACGTTTCCGACCCCTCTGATGACCGCGACGAACCACCTCTACCTCTGGTTGAGTCCTCCTGGACCAACCTCCCAACTCTCTCACCCTCTCTCACACTCAGCCAACCCTCTCACCCTTTTACTCACCCCCTACTAACGCTAGAACGTCATACACCACCTTTACTGTGTGCCTACTAATTCGCGATTTAGTATGAGTTGTCGGAAACTCTTGCCACCTTGCCAAAAGGACTATGAATTCATTGGGCAGGCTTATGATGTTGTTACAATCACATATATATATACAAGTACATAATGTAACATCATCCAGTCGTTTACTCCTAATAAAGTCTAGACGATTGATAGACAGGAATCTTTGATGAGTATTTGTTTTACGTTTAAATTCAAAGTGTTTACTTGTTACGATTTTTTATTATCTCCATTATCGTTTAATATTATCTAGAAATTTGATGATAAAGATTGTCATCAATTTAAACTATCCTTATTATATATATGTATATATATTTATTATTTTATGTTATATATTATTTATTATATTTATTATAAATTATTCATTATATATTTATTTATTATTTATATTTGTATTTTATATTTATTAAAATGAAAACTTCATTAGAATGGATGTGATTTAAAAAAATGAAACGCAGTGATGTAGTGGGAAAATAACATCGGGATTTAGTGGGGGAAAAGAAACGGCCATAATACTACGTAAAAAGAGAAAAAGAGACAAACATATCATTATTTATAAATCATCATTATTTATAAAAATATTTGATTTGCAAACATTTTTTAAAGTGTTTTATTATTTACTTTCTTTGTAATTATTATAAAAATGCGCGCCTGTATGAATGCAACCCTCCAGACATACTTTAAAAATGTTGCTTGCGAACTCCATCTGTTGAGACGGAATTTTTTTCTGCCCAAAAGATAAGCAACCCGTCATACATACGTGTATAAACAGTTTTGACTGCAAAAAAATTCCGTTCCAGTAGATGGCGCTCACAAGCAACATTTTCAAAGTCTGGAGGGTTGCATACAAATAGGCGCGCATTTTTATAAATTAAATTAATAATTAAATAAATAATTACTAATTAAAAGTACAAATAATATTATAATAATATTATATAATAAATTATTCTCGAAACTTGTTTATTTAAAAGTTTTACTTCCAACTTGTGTGATATGCAAACATGTTTTTTTATATATATATATATATAATTTATATATATATTATTATATATTATTTATTACATTTATTACAGATTATTATATTTATTATATTAATTATATATATATAATATTATTAATATAAATAATAAATATATTTATATTTTATTATTATATATAAATAATATTATATATAATAGGTGTAAGATTACCAGGTGTGCCAGAAAGTCATTACCGGTTTTTCTAACAGATGTCGCTAGGCTTGAGTATGCAATGTTATCATTTGACACATATGTCATTTTATTCTACTGACATCAAGCTTTAAAAGCTATACGGGTTATACTTTGCGAAAGTAAGACATCATAGATTTATACCTCTGTAGAGACCAAAGCGTAATTCCCTACTCACTCCGACAGATAGCGCAGCAATCGTCGCTGCCAACCGTGTTGGCAACAAGATGTGCTAGGGATTTTGCCCCGAGCCACTCTTGGCATACTGAGCATTATTCATTCAAAAAACAGAAGCCGATCTATAAGGATGCTATAAGTCAGCACGTTATAACCAACATTTAGCTGCCTAGTTACTTTTTCCTCCCGCATGTAGGATAAACACTGCACCTCTTTGAAAATGTCAAGTTTCATGCCGGAAAACGTGCATTCGCGGCACGCATTACTTTTCTTATTTAATCAAAAGAAAAAAGCCGCTGAAAGTCATCGTTTCCTGGTAGAAACTTACGGTAAACATGCTCCAACCTTAAAAACTTGTGAGACGTGGTTTCGAAAATTCAAAAGTGGTGATTTCGATCTGCAAGACAAAAAACGTTCTGGTAGACCGAAAAAGTTTGAAGATGCGAAACTGCAGGAGTTATTCGATGAAGACCCAACCCAAACTCAAAAACAATTGGCAAGAGCGTTAAATGCGGCCCAAGAAACGATTAGCGACCGATTACGAGCAATGGGGAAAATTCAAAAGATAGGAAGATCGGTGCCACATCAACTTTCCGGCACACCTGGTATGCTTCCGCCATTTTTTTTTATAAATCATTTTTAGTAGAATAGCAGAAACAAAGTTGTACACATAATATATATTAATTATTTTATTATATATTATTTATTATATATTAATTATTTATATATTATATATATATATATATTTATTATTATTTAAAAAGATATAAATTTTGATCGAAAATAAATAAATTGCAATATTAATGAGAAGGAAGATTTATTGAGTTATTTTAAATCAAATTTACCGTTCGATACTTCATCGATTTCAAAATATCGATAATATATTTATAATAATATAAGATATATATGTTAGATTTGAAATTCTAAACGCTATCATTTATCTTTAACAAAATGTAAACAGAAAACCGTTGAGTGAAATTAATTTTCTAAGAAGAAGAATTTGCAGTTGTTATCGTGTTTATTTCTATTTTTAATTTCTTTTGAATTTCTTTTGTGTTATCGATAGTTATTATTTACTCGTTATTGCCACACCGACTACTACACAATTCATCTTATTTAAACATTAACAAGAAAATATTTAATAATTAACAATGAAAATTAATCATTTTTAACTTACCTAGATTATTTTTCTGGTAGTAGGAGACAATCAATTGGCGCGAAAATCGTTTTTAAAGCAAACAACCGGAAGTATCATGGCGTACACATCAGAAAACAATTCTAGTCAAATGAAAATCTATAACGTTAATTTTCTTTTTCTTTTTCTTTTTTTTTACAAAGAAATGATTAAAAGAAAATATTCAAATAAATATGAAAAATTATTCTCTTATTTAATATTTATTTATTTACGTTTAAAGACAAAATATGAGAGTATACAATATGAAAAAGGATTTGCCCGCGCTACGATCGTTTCTCTGTTGGAAATCCGTCATTAGGTTTCGGCGAGTTGCACAACGGACGTTTAGATTAAGAAGCATTGCTAGTTTTGGCGCCAATCAAGTAAAAAACACATTACTATCGTATTCCACAGCAAGTGCTGGAAAATATTAGTATGTATTAGTACGGCAATATTAAAAATGCCATAAAGACTACGTGTAACAGTTATGAAAAATATTTTCAAAGAACATTTATCAACATAACCTAACAAATGTTATAGTGCCGCCAAGGAAAGCTACGAAACGAACCGCCCAAGTTCCACCGACGGGACAAAAGAAGACCAAACAGCTAAGAGGAAAGCTAGGTAACAATTTCATTAGCACTTTATAACTATAATATTCTAATTTCATTCTTATCCGTGTCAATAAACAATTGTTCGTGTTACGATTAAATGTACCGTTTCTTTAATAACCTAAGCTAGTGTGGGGGTCATTGCATGTGGTTTTTTTTTTTCTTCTTTTTAGTTCACAATCATTAAAATTTCATTGATTTAAAAATATTTACAATTATGATCATGTTAACTCGTAACAATTATTTGTCTTTATTTATTTATTCATATATTCTTCTTTTTCTCAGTTTGGTCAATGACATATTATTAAACTATAGAATAAAATACTCTGTAACTTCTCTTTGACAGATTTAAAGTTGAAACCAAATTTACGGCAATCCAATACAGGCGGTTATATACTTGCATTCGGACAAGGAGATGTTGGACAACTTGGTCTGGGAGAAGATGTTATTGAAAAGATTCGTCCTGCGACTATTCCTGGATATCAAGATATAGTAACTGTAGCAGCTGGAGGCATGCACAATGTTTGCTTAAGACAAACCGGTGAAGTAATAACATTTGGATGTAACGATGAAGGGGCTCTTGGAAGGGATACATCCAAAGAAGGTTCGGAGACTGTCCCAGGTTGTGTTGATTTACCTGCTAAAGCTATTCAAGTAACAGCAGGTGATTCTCACAGTGCTGCATTATTAGAAGATGGTAGAGTCTTCGCGTGGGGTTCTTTTAGAGTAAGTCATATATCATTCTTTCTAATAACTTGTTTATCTTCTAACGAGATATGAAATTAATATTACATACTTTTGAATGATATTTTAGGACTCTCATGGTACCATGGGTTTGACGTTAAAAGGAAATGAAAGACTTCCTATAGAATTGTTACCTAATGTTAAAATAGTTAAAGTAGCATCAGGTGCTGATCATTTAGTATTACTTAGTGAATCTGGAAATGTATATACCTGTGGTTGCGGCGAGCAAGGTCAATTAGGACGAATGGCTGCCAGAACCGCTAGTAGAAATAGTCGTCATGGTATAGGACCTTTGTTAACACCTGGAATAGTTGAATTTAAAATTACTAAAAAATTAGAATTTAATGATATATGGGCTGGTACATATTGTACTTTCCTAAAAGAATATAGTAAAGGAGATATATATGTTTTTGGTTTAAACAATTATTATCAAATTGGTAAATATCTTAATTTATATTTATTAACATTTATCATGATACAAGAATATAAATCTAATATCAATGCCTTTCTTTAAGGTCTAAACGAACCATCAACTCATTTTCATCCACAAGTATCGAAAACTTTCAGTGGGAAAGTATGGAGGCATATCAGTAGCGGTCAACATCATACAATCGCTTTAGATGATGTAGGTCAAGTTTTTGTAATGGGTCGTAAAGAATATGGTCGTCTGGGCCTTGGACCTAACTGCTCGGATGCTAAAGAATTAACTTTAGTTTCCGCTTTAAGTTCTATGAAATGTATCGATATAGCAGCTGGTAGCGCACAATCTTTCGCAGTTACAGAATTAGGTATTTAAATATATATATATATATATATACTACATGCATTATAATGATTTTTATATACATATTGTAAATGTAAATCTTAAGATTTATTCCTTATTCTCTTTCTGATCATTTTAGGAGATCTATATGCGTGGGGAATGGGAACAAGTGGACAACTAGGTACAGGAGCGGAAGAAGATGTAGAAGAACCTCAACTAGTTAAAGGAAAACAATTAGAAGGCAAATCAATAATACAAGTTTCTGGTGGTGGACAACATACGTTAATTTTAGCGATACCTCGTCCAATAAAAGATAAAACTGCGGGTTAATTGGAAATAATGTAATATTATTTAAATATATCACACACACACGTGTGATACAAAGCTCGGACAACGAAGGACAAAAATAATGTGTGTAAATTGTGCCTAATAACTTTACGACGAAAACAAAGATATAATTGAGATCAATTTTTGTAATGTATTCAAATCTATAGACATTGATGAAAAAAACTTTCAGATTTGTAATATAATTCATTATTAACGATAATGAAAAAAAAAAAAAATCATTGTGTTTGTCATAATTATTGGAAGTTGTTTAATTTCTTTGTTAGTTTTTCTATTTACAAATATGTATTACAGAAATAAATTTTTTCTACAATACCATTGAATTTATTTATGTTTATATATATTATATATATATAAACACATGTATACGTGCAATATTTTTCTGTTCTTTCAATTTTGTATTACATTGTTTCAACATAATTGTTATTCAATAACATATTTTCGCAAATTTATAAGATTATAATAAATAAATTTATGTTCACTGTATGGATAAGACTAAAATGCTGAATGTTAGGTTCAATCGTTAATTTAAATGAAAAAAAAAAACAAAATTGATAAAAATCATTTATAAAAATAACAAAAAGATAACCGTTTTTTTTTTTCCTAATAAATATTTCTAAAGTATAACTTTATTAACAATTTGATAATTAAATACAAAGTTGTACTTTATTTGTCATTATATTATTACGCATGAACTACCATAATTGAATGCTTTGCAACAACGATAATGTTACAATATGACAACTCACTGTTCACTTCTATTCGAATAAGTAATGTCAGTAAGAAAGAAATGATTTCAATGAATTTTAGCACCATTATCATTCAGCAAATAAAAAATACATGATGGATAATTTAACTTTTCTTTCTTTGGTTGTTAGTTGACTTTATTTTTCATAAAATTATCTTCTTGCATAGACATTTGTGTAAGTTTCTTTCCTACACGTTCATGAACGTCTAAATATTTAGCTACACAACGATCTAAACATATTGATTCTCCTTTTCCCAATTCTGCTTCACTATATTTTGGTGGGATACATTTTCTATGACAAGCCGATAACATACGATTATACATGTCAGACATCATTTCTAATTCCAAATCTTGAACCATTTTGAGTTTTTCTTCATCTAAATGCGGTAGAGCTGCCATTTTGTTCTTTCTTTTTTTTTGTTTTATTTTGTTTTTACTCAATTAGAATAAATTCGATATTATTAAGTATTATATAAATGATTTATTCTTCTCCAATATCAATTTCCCTCATACGCTGTCTTACTTTCATAACCTCATATCTTTTGGCATCTACGTATTTTTTTGATAAGCTAAAGCTATATATTCCTAAAGAAATGACTACAGCCCTGTAACATAATTTATTACAATAATCAGTATATTCACAAACAAAAAATATTCATTAAGTTTATTTTGAAATAATTCAATAACGTACTATACACGTGGAAATAATAACTCTTGAGAATTGTACTCTTTTTTTTTTTACATTTGAGGTTATAAATAATTAAAATACTAATAATCATTCAAATTTATTATATTTCTTTCAAAGCATAATAATAACTATACGCACCTACCATCCAATAAATATTTTTTGATGCGTTCCTAATTTCATAGTTTTATTTGTTAATATATTTAAAAAAAACTGTGGAATAAATCATATACTCTGTATAATCGTATTAATCATACTAAAATGATATTCGGCGTGTTACACATTATACCGGCACTTTTCAATATCAATACCTAACATTTCCCTAGTAGAGTTATATCAATGTAGCCAAAATTATAAAAATAAAAACCAAATAAATCTCTAGCACGAATGATAGTAGTAGTACTTTAGGTATTTAAACTGAAGTAACATAGAATAGAATTATAACCTATAAATATAACCTATAAAAATATAACCTATAAATTAAAAGAAAAAATATATTATCTGTTATTATAAACAATGCAACGATTTGATATATTATCGAAACAATTACGTTTAATCAATATTATCAGAACAAATAGAACGTTTATAAAATCATTCAGCAGTGAAAAACCTCCAGACGATGGCATGAACAAAACTGAGAATACTCAAATAGAGATTAAAGAAATAAAATCATCTGATAGTTCTTTAAATAAATCTGATGAATCAAATTCTAATATCAAATCTAATGAAATGAAATCTCTTGAGGATGTAGCACAACCAGAAATAAAGTTGAGTGGATTTGCACAGACATTTAAAAAGTTTTCAAAAATTGATACACCAGAAGAAACCAAAGGACCAACCACATTTACTTCTTTACTACGACAGTCAGAATTTATGAATGTATGTTTTTTCTATTTATAAATTTGTACATTTATATTTTGTATTACATGTCATAACGTTGCAGTTAGGAGATCCAGAAGGAAAGAGGGTCGTAGGGAAAATATTTAAAACCGTCAACGACGATTTGTACATAGATTTTGGATGGAAATTCCATTGTGTATGCACCAGACCTTTAAAAAATGGAGAGTATGTAATTTATTATTTACTTCAATATTTATTATATTATCAAGCAAACAGATTGATAATTTGAAATTAAATTTTATTTCAGATTTTATGTTAGAGGTTCATTGGTAGCTTTAAAGATAAAAGACTTGGAATTATCTGCAAGGTTTTTAGGTGCAACTACAGACACTACTATCTTAGAAGCAGATTGTGTACTTTTAGGTTTATTATATTCTCCATTAAAAAAAGTCAATACACAATCAGAGAAGACCCAATTGTAATACGTGCTATTTAATATTTGTTAATTATTGTAATATCTAATAAATACTTAAACATTAACAAATGTTTCTCAGATTTATCTTACTGTAAGAATATTATGCATATATTCACATAACAATATTGTTTGAGTCATATCTGAGTCAACATTTGTTGAGTCAGTTCAAATATATATATGAAAATAGTCTATGTCATATATTTCTTGTTTTTCAAGATATTTCAAGAATTATATTTAAAAACTAACATAAATGAATTCCATATAATATTGAAATAACAAGCACTATTCATTTTTCATGAATATCGTAAAAATTACATTGAATTACTTTAGCTTAAACTAATATGATTTAAAAATAACTGATAAACTTATGTTTTTTAATTTTTGATTTATTGTTAAATCATTTTCATAATTATATACACACACAATATATTTATATATAATATATAGCAACTGAATTAATCAAAATAATACATGGTGAGAGGCAAGTTTTTTTATTGCAGAACCTCTTTCAACTGGCCTTTTAGCTCAGTTGGTTAGAGCGTCGTGCTAATAACGCGAAGGTCGCGGGTTCGATCCCCCCAAGGGCCAAATATTTTTTTTTTCTAACCAATGATCAAATTTATTTAAAAATAAAAAAATGTATAAATATTGACAGATTGTTTAGCTGCATTTTTTTTATAAAATGAATAAATAAAACGTTAAACATTATATATATATATATATAGTATACTTTGAGTTATCATATATAAACAGATAATATATCTTTTCTAATCAGTACATTATACTAAGTGAACTTTGACAAATGGATTACTCAATAAGCACTTATTCATGTATTCAGTTATTTGAATATATATTTGAAAGATAATATATATTGTGAAATGAAAAATATTCATAGATATGGCTTGTTTTATTTCTTCATTCAGATGATGGTGTATAACCCTTGTAACAACAATTAAATGTGAAAATGACGATGATCTAAATAACGCATTCATCTTTACTCTGTAGTGATATAATTATGATACTTATAAAGATTGTAACTTGTTAGAGCAGAGTATTAAATATTATGTTACAATATACAACTATAAAAATCATGTATCATTCTAGAAAAGTTCAACTTTTATTAAAAACGTAAGGAATTATTCAAAATAAATATTTTTATTAATATTATCATATATATATATATATATATAATGATTGTTTTCTTATAGGAATTTATTAACCTCGAAGACGTATTCACAAACTACTAATCCTAAGCAGCTTGTCAAAATTGATAAAGTAAGATTCATTCATTTCATTTATTTCTTATTTTCAATAGTATTTGAATAAAATAACATTTGTTAACATTGTTCAGGTACTTATTGCAAACAGAGGAGAAATAGCATGTCGAATATCGCGAACAGCCAAAAGATTAGGAATCAAAACTGTAGCGGTGTACAGTGATGCAGATAGAAATGCAATGCACGTGAATCTTGCCGATGAAGCATATTGTATCGGTCCAGCACAATCTAGTCAAAGTTATTTAAGACAAGACAAAATAATATCTGTCGCTAAACAATCAAAATGTCAAGCTATACATCCAGGATATGGTTTTCTTTCAGAAAATACTGAATTTGCAGAATTATGTCAAAAAGAAAATGTCATATTTATTGGACCTCCTGCAAGTGCGATTAGAGATATGGGTATAAAAAATAAATCTAAGAAAATCATGGCTAATGCTGGGGTACCTGTCATAGAAGGTATTCAGTTGATTACAGTTTTACAAAATATATTATATATCATATATTATTTGAATAACTTTTCAACAGGTTATCATGGGGACGATCAATCCAATGAAACTTTGCTATCAGAAGCCAAAAAAATTGGTTTCCCATTAATGATAAAAGCGATACGTGGTGGAGGTGGCAAAGGTATGAGGATTGTTCTAAATGAAAATGGATTTTTGGATGCTTTAGAATCGGCAAGAACTGAATCACAAAAAGCATTTGGTGATTCTGCTGTTCTTTTGGAACAATACGTTGAAAAACCGAGACACGTTGAGGTACAAATATTTGCAGACAAACATGGCAATGCGGTTTACTTATTTGAAAGAGATTGTTCTATTCAAAGGAGACATCAAAAAGTTATTGAAGAAGCACCTGCTGTATGTTATCTTGCATTATTATAAAAGACAATATTTAATTAAAAAGTAAGATAACAAATAATTAAATTAATAGAGATCAAATCTTAAATTTAATGTACTGCATATGTCATGTAGCCTGGTATATCTCCAGAATTACGAATAGAATTAGGAGAAACTGCTGTTCGTGCTGCAAAAGCTGTTGGTTATGTCGGAGCTGGTACCGTAGAATTTATCATGGATCCAATTAACTACAATTTCCACTTTATGGAAATGAATACACGTCTTCAGGTAGAACATCCTGTTACGGAAGCAATTACGCGATTGGATCTAGTAGAATGGCAATTAAAAGTAGCTGCTGGTGAAATACTTCCTTTAAAGCAAGAAGAAATCCATCTTCATGGACACGCTTTTGAAACTAGGATCTATGCTGAAGTAAATATTTAATTATGCATGTCAATACTTAAATCTATAAATTAATGTCTTATCATTTTATTTTATTACAGAGTCCAAGAAATGGTTTTTTACCTGGTGCAGGACATTTGTCTTATTTGAGAACTCCTGAAACATCGGAAACTGTTAGAGTTGAAACTGGTGTTAAGGAAAACGACGATGTATTGGTTCATTATGATCCGATGATAGCTAAATTAGTTGTTTGGGGAGCTAACAGAAATGAAGCGCTTAGAATTCTTAAATCTAAACTTAGCGAATATAATGTAAGTTTATAAATTTAGAATAAGAGAACATATTAATCGAGAGATGAAAAGTATTGTTGTTTTATGAAAAAAAAATCAAATGTTTTTAGGTAGCTGGGCTTGATACAAATATTGAATTCATTAAAGATATATGTTCTCATCCTAAGTTTCAAAATGGTGAAGTTCATACGGGTTTTATAGAGGAAAATAGTAAAGAATTATTTACAGATTTACGTATTCCTAATAGCATATTGATGCAAAGTGCTCTTGCACTAATTTTATACGAAGAAATGAATGCTTTAGTTATATCTTTCAAAACGAATAATCCTTTTAATCCATTTGCTACAGAAACTGGTTATAGATATAATCATATATTAAATAGAACATTGAACTTTACCGTCAATGATCAGAATATGGAAGTTAGTGTTAAATATGTCGAACCTGAAATATATTCTATGAGAGTTAACAATATTGGCCCATGGAGACAAGTACGTGGTACATTGAAGAAAATAAATAATGCACTAGAATTAAATATAGAAATAGACGGATTAATTACGAGAACAAGAGTTACCAAACTTGGAAATAAATTGCATTTATTTACCAATGTAAGTTGATCGATTAATTCCTAATTATTTATAATTAAATGTTCATACTTTAAAAGTTTATCTTTTTTAGACACAAGAATGGCAAGTGAATATACCCAATCCTAAATTTGTATCGGAACTTAACAAATCTGTTGAATTAAATCCTTCGGCAGCAATTAGTCCTATGTCTGGTATAATAGAAAAAATATTTGTTAAAAAAGGTGATAAGGTTCAACAAGGTGATTCATTAGTTGTTATCGTAGCCATGAAAATGGAAGTAAGTTGATTCAAATTTATACAAATATTTTATTTATAATTTCATTTGTACAATAACGTTCAACAAATTTCATTATTATTTTTATATTACAGCACGTAATTAAAGCATCTATTGATGGAGTTGTCGAAGATGTTTTATATTCGGTAGGTGATAACGTATCAAAGGATAATCTTCTTGTTAAATTATCAGAAATAAAAGAATAACCTTAACAACGCGCACATACATATTCAAAATATTTTTATACAAAATCATTTTATACATTTTATATCTATATATATATATATATTAAATGTATTATATAACATATTTTATATATTATTTTTTGAAAAAATATAATAATTACTTACAAGAGTACAAATTATAATGACATATTAAATAAAGATGACAAAATGAAATTGAATTCGTGAATTGAAAAAGTACACTAGAATTTTTCGCTGTTGATTGGATAATGTAAACAATATGGCGAATCTAGCTAAAATGGCAGTTAAATGCAAGTGGCGCTGCTGTAGCAATTACTTTGCCTAGTTACTTTTTACAAAGGGAAAGCGTGTTTCTAGAACGACAACGTTTGGTAAAGGTTAATTTATCTTATTATAACTGAAAACAATTGTTTATTTAAATCACACCTGAGACTTCATATTGTAAGAGACATTAATAAGAGACAGTTATTACTTGTGCAAACTTTCACATAATACTACAACTTTCGAATAAATGTGTGTTTTCATTGTGCAAAAGTAATACGTATTAAATATAAATAATCACATTTTTCGTTGATATTAATTATCATTGTGCAAAAGTAATACGTATTAAATATAAATAATCACATTTTTCGTTGATATTAATTATTTATGATGAATATTTTCAAGATATATATCTGTAATAATTAAGAAACTAAACATTTGTACATTTTAAACAGTAACTTAATATGGATCTGTTAGCAACTCAACCTTATGATTATGACGATTTAGCTACACAAAAGATTGAAATAGAACCAGAAAAAATACAAAATATACAGGTAATAAATTCAATGAAAATTTCCAAATTTATTTTCAACGATAATTGGATAATATAAATAATGTTTAATATTTTAGGTTGGTGAATTGAAGGTCAATTTTAAATCATATCCTATTTATAAAGGAATAACTAATATAGGACGTCATTCTAACTGTCATATTCAGTTGGATGATCAGGTATTTTATTTGTTATATTTAATGAATAATTATATTTATATTTCCTTTTTTTTTTTTTCTTTCTTTTTTACTAACAATATTTTTAATTATAGAGTATATCAAAATTTCATGCAGAGATAGAAACACATACATATCCATCTACCTCATGGATAAGTGATTTGAATTCTTCTAATAAAACAATACTGAATAATGTAAGTTCTATTAATTTCATTTATACATAGGTCAAATTTGTATAAATTTTCAAGAAATATAATTATTATGTTAATTAATCAATATAACCTAAAATCATATTTTTTATTTTAGGTTGTTCTACGTCCTAAGCGTTATTATGAATTAAAGGATAATAGTACAATACAATTTGGAAGGGTAAAAGTAATTTATAAAGTATGTCACTCAAGCAAGGAATTAACCATCCCCGAAACTCCTGAACGTAGTAACCGTCAACATAACGTAACAGTTCGAAATTCAAAAACTCCGGATAGATTATTGGTAATGATAATAATTAATATATCAAACAATATAACTAGAGAAACGAAAACAAACTGTTATTACAAAAGAAATACAATTATTTCTCTTTTTTTTTTTTTTTTAGACTCCTAATTCAACTTCGAATAAAAGTAATTGTTCAATTACGAATATACAAGAATGTTCCAAAAAATTGATTACTTCTTTTTCATCCAAAAATCGGTTAATTCGAGAAACATTGCAAAATATTGGCAAACAAAGTGTTAGTACAGAAAGAACAGTTTCATGCGAAGAAGTAAACAGTTTATGCGATCAAAACGAACGTAGCATAAGTTACGAATCGGATGATATATTTGATGCTGCTACGCAGCACGTTAATATCGATTCATATTTGAAAAGTATCCAAGATTCATCGTTACAAAAAGAAATGGAAAAACAAGAAGAGGAAGATGTTAGTAATATCGATAACACAGCAACATTGGAACAAAACTGCGACAAAGTTGGTTCTACGAGTACACCTATAAGAAAAACAAATGCTCAGGATGATCAAGTAAACAAATTGAATAGCATAGAAAGAGATATTGCATCGGCAACCAAACGTCTTCGATCGAAAAATAATTCTTCGCCTTCGGTTAAAGAAAATAATAAAAAAAAAATAAATGTCATTGATATAACCTCACCAGATAGAATTCCAAATTCAAACAAACGACAAGCTGAAGAAAAGATAAATGATCTTGACAATATTGAAACTTTAGATACGCAAATAATAAATATAGAAAGTAACAATCGTTCCGATTCAGTTAAAAAATTACAAGCAAATAAAATTGACATAAACAAATGTAGTTCTAGTATAGAAGATATCGATTATGAGACAGCTAGTACGCAAATAATCGGAGAAATCGAAATTACAAATAGTAAAACGTTTAAATTAGCTAAATCCAATTTGCAGAGTGATGTACAAGAAGAAGAAGATGATGACATTTTATCTCGATTGCCAGAGGTTAATATATCTGGTACTCTTTCAAATTCAGCAACGCCTGTGAAGATTGTAAAACGAACGAATAAGTCTAGAAGAACGTATAATAATTCAAAAACTGTTAACAAATCTGACACAACGTCTAAAAGTTCTAAAAGTAAATCTGTCGACAAGAAGAATGAAGCGGATACGACGTTAAGAAAAAGTGACAAAAATTTCCACAAGACTACTACGAATACGATATCACAGATAGATAATAATAAATCGGGTCATTCGATGAGTAAAAGATCAAAGAAGAAAGAAAACGTAGTTAGCGATATTAAAAGTTCAACCGATAAACCTGAAGTTAATACGAAAAGTAAAAGAAACAAAAAAAATACTAGAAATAATACAAACGAAAGAACAAAAAGTAGTTCTGGATCAATGACCAATAAAGAAAAGGAAAATAAAAATGACACATCTGAAGAAGAAATGGGAGAAGAGTCGCAAGAAATTGCCATGATCATGAACATTTCTTTGATTAACGATAGTGAAACGTTGAAAAATATTAGTTCACGAAAACGTAAAATATCTGATGTCAATTTGGATGACAATTCGTTGATAAATAGTAATAACATTTCACGTAAACGTGAAACTAGTAATGAAAAACACAATGTACCAGTATCATCAAGAGCCAAACGAAAGAAATTAGGTAAAAATAGTTCTTTACAATCGTCACTTGATTCCATTAGAGATGATTCATTGACCAACAAGGATAAAGATACAAAATCTCCACCATCAACGCGAAATTCTTCGCTTACACGGTCAACAAGTATGAAAAAAGAGATCAATCAAAATAATACAACTATTTCGAGAAAAAGAAAAAAAATAGAGGATGACATTTTAATGGATGTAAAAATTAATATAAATACATCGGATGTTTCGAAATATTTAACTAATGTTAGTCCGAATGTATCATTTTCTACTGCAAAAGAAAAAGTTCTTTTTACCGGTGTAACAGATGACGATTATGTGAAAATATTAAAATCATTAGGTACTTTATTTTATAATAAATATCAATTAATTATAATTTATAATTGTATGTTTAATTTAACTGAAATATGATTTTTGTTGTTTAGGTGGTGTTAAGGTGAACGATCCTTCTGAGTGTACTGTATTAGTTACGGACAAAATACGTAGGACAACTAAATTTCTGTGCACATTAGCAAAAGCTGTGCCAATAGTATCAGTCAATTGGTTATTAGAAAGCAAACGTGCTGGTTATTTCTTAGATTTGAACAATTATTTATTAAAGGATCCAGCTATGGAAGCAAAATATGGATTTAGATTAAGAAAAAGTTTGGAAAACGCTAAAGAACGACAATTGTTAGATGGTTATACAGTATTATTAACTCCAAATATAATCTCACCACCTGTATCAGAATTAAGAAGTGAGTCCTATATATTATATATTTATATATTGTCTATACTTATACCAAAAATAATAATTAAATCAAATGATTTGTTTTTATTTGTAGCTATAATTGCGTCGTGTGGAGGTAAATCTTTTTTACGTGCACCTTTGAATTTGCCAACTAAAACTGTAATTATAAGTATTGAAAAAGATTTGGATAAAACAAAAAAATGGTTGGCAAAAGCGCCGAGTGGTACAACTGTGCAATCAACAGAATTCCTTTTAACTGGTATTTTGAAACAAGAACTAGATTTTGTTAAATATAAATTGACATAATTATAAATTGACATAATTGTAAATTGACTAACCCCTTAAGGGTCATATGCTCGAGTTAATTTGAGTGCGCTAAACCACCTAAATTTTGCACGCTCGAGATAATTCGAGCGGCGTTGTATCTTATACTGCTCTCATTTTTCACACTTAAATATAATCGACAATTGGCAATGTCAAAATTGTGTTTTTTTTTATATATATAAAAAAAAAAAAAACTATGTATTAAGGGGTTAAATTTTCATCATAAGTGCCTACATATACATATATACGTAAACGTTTTAAAAGATCTTCTTTTTTATCTAATCCCTTATTTTATGTATATATATATATATAGATATAATAATTATATTAATAATAATTTCGAAAAAGATAAAACTAAAAAAAAAAAAATTATAATGACGAAAGAAATAAAAAAAGTTACGTCATATAAATTATGAAATACAGATTAAACGATATATAATATAATTATTTAGATATATTCATACACATATATATTTAATAATAAGCTCGCGCGATCTTCTATTCTTACTTACAAAATTTTATTGCGAATGAAAATTTGTTTGTGAGATAGATTAGATGAATAAATGCATTCATTTCTCGACAAACATGGAAATTTGAATCGTTGAGAAAATGTCCGTCATCGTAATTATAATCTTGTAATGAAGAGGGTAAATTGTCGTGAGATGAGATAATCCTCTCTCCTTTTTTTTTCTTTTTTCTACGAGATACGCCGCGACCCCAATGTCAAAGACCTGAAACAAATCAAAAACAAACATAAGAAAAGTCATAAATATTTTTATTTTTATACATTACATATAAATTTGTTATATTATATTAAATATAATATATTAAATATAAATTATATTATTTAATAATAATAATAATAATAATAATAATAATATATATGTTATATTATATATTATTTAATTTATATTTAATAATATAATATTATATAAAAATATTTTTATACATATTTGACATTTGATTTAATTATATAATTAAATAATAAATAATAAATAATAATTATATTGTTTTTATATATTTGATTAAATTATATAATTAAATAAATTCGTTAATTTTTTTTTTTTAAATAACAATTAATTAAATTACATTTTCAAATAATAAAAATACGTTTAATATTCGAAGTATTTGTTTTGATTTTTTTTCTTCTTTTAAATTAATTGCAATATTTCTCTCGCAAAATGTTGGGCGTAAATCAGCGATTGCATTCAAAATGGCCGCCGCGATAAGAAAAGTAAGACGTAGTTATATATATATATATATATATGTCGGGAAGATCGATTTATTCATTTTCAACGGTTGAGAAGGTAACGAATTGTTATTGCGTAATATGAAGACATAATAAATACATTATATATTTTATAATATATATTATAATTATAAAAAAACAAACTTATAATGTTATTTAATAATTTAAATGTATTATTTTTGTTTTCTTTTTTAGCACAAAGAAAATAAGACAATGGAAGTGACAAGGTGAACGTTATTAGTCATCAAGTTTACATATATATATATATACATTATAGATTATCCTTGAAATCGAAATGAAGAAAAAAAAAAAATAATAATAATAAAAATAAAGTATATATAAATTGGTATTGAAATTTACCCAAAATAAATAATTTACGCTTTGGTCTTCCCTTGTTGCCTTTTGTTATGTTCAGAATTCATTAGCTTCGTTACGATCTTTCTGGAATGGCCGCTCGGATCAAAATGATTGGTATGAGCGTCGGCTTCACGTTTTGAACGTTGTTTCCCTCCGTGACCGGTGAATATGTGCTTGTCGTAATCGTAGTTGAAATGCTCATATTCGTCGACGTAGTAGTTATCGGACATAATTTCTGCTTTTTTAATTTTTTTTTTTTCACACAAAGAAAGATATTTAGATAAAAATAATATGTCGCAGTAAACAGCAACAACAACAATAGCAATAGCAATTGCAGCAGATGCAGCAGTTGAGGATTAAGATGATGATGAAGATTTCACCAAAAAAATATCAACTTTTTTTCTTTTTTTTTTAAATTCACCTTTATAATGGTTGTAAAGAGTTATACGTACGATTCGATACTAATTTCTGCGAAGTTATCGCGTCCCTTCTTTTATAGGATAAGCTCGAGTGTTTGCGCATGCGTATTGCACAGTAACGTACGACGCGCATCAAAACCGAACTATGCTTACTTTTATCTTCAAACGACGCTATGTTTTTTTTTTCTTTTTATTTTATTTTTGTTTATCTCTCGATGAAAATAAATTTGCAAAATCTTTCTTTATTTATTTACAAACAATTGTAATTGAATAATTTATAAGGATCAACGTTATACGAAATCGAAGTTTCGAGATAAGTAAGTTGTTACAATAATGAACATTATGCGTCGTTTTTGTCCATTTCTTCTCAATCCGTACGGTAACAGCTGCGTTAGTGTCCTTAATGTTTATGCTTGGATAAATACGCTTAACTATATATAAAAAGAAAAAAAGATACAAGCTGAAAGTATCTGTATACATTATGTATCTATATAGATACGTGTACGTTGAAAAGTTGTTGATGTTAACTCGCTCGATAGATAATATCGTATTTCTTATATACATATATATATTTTTCTTTTAAAATTATGATCTTAACTTATATCAGCAAACTAAAGATAGGATATATTTGTTTGAAGAAAATTGATTCCTCATTGTAACTTGATACCTTTTATAAATGCAATTACAACAAAATTCGAAATAGTCGATTGAATTTGACACAAATTGTTTCTCGAATTTTCTCTTATCTTTAAGACAAACATAAAAGATTAATAATAACTTTCGTGTTATTATACCAATAACAAAAAACTTATCGAAATTAGATTAAATGATCTCTTGTACCAGTTTTAATTTGGAATGTTTATCAATTTGAGACACGTGTAGATTCTGATTTTTCTTTAATGAATTTTATCGTCTGTGTTATTCGTATTTTTTAATAATAATGACTAATACAATAATATTATTGAATATATTATAACATATATTTAATATATATTATATATTTATTATTAATAATAATATAATAAATAATTACTAGAATATAAAATAATATAATAAAAATTAATAAATAAAATATATATATATATATAATATATTATAATATTATAAAATTATAAATTTAATATATAAATCTATATTATATATATATAATATAATATAATATAAATAATATTATTATATTATAATATTATAATTATAAATTTAATATATAAATTTATATTGAATATATAATTAATAATTAATATTATATTATTATACATAATATAANTTATACATAATATAAATTTATGTTTATATTATATTTTGTAGTATAATATTATAATATATAATATAAATATATTATTTACATTATATTATTACATATAATATATATTATAACACAATATTCAATAATATTATATAATAATATTATTTCAAATAGTAAACGTAATACATGTGTTTTTATTTCATTAACACAATTAATGTTTTCTTCAATACCAATATCAATATTTTAATGATTTGATAGGTCTGTCTAATGAAAAAGAAAAGTACATCATTACAAAGTAATTTATCTTACTTACTTGCATATATGAACAAAATGTATGAGTTAATCATCATATTTGTTTCTATACTCATACATACACATTATACCAACGAACATTTATATATTTACATATGTATATAAAAGAAAGGTGCGAAAAAGACGTTTATTATTTCAGTAGTATCATGATTAGTCATCAATTGTTGACAAAATGATGCCATAATAATATTTATTTATATTGAAAGGTCGAGATAAAAGTGTCAGAACATTTTATCAAGACCACTCAAGGTCAATTCGACCATAAATATATCGTCAGAATTTTCTTTCAACGAATTGGACGTGAATAAAAAAAATAAAAAAAATAAAAATAAAAAACGAACAAACATGAGTAATATTTTATTTTATTTTTTTATTATTCTTTTTCTCATTCAATTTAGCAAAAGGAATTTGAGTATATTTTTTGTTAAACTCTTACAATCGATTTTCATTATATTTCATTGTATTCATACATATTTTTTATTATTTATTTATTATTTTTTTATATATTTATTTATTTATTATTTATTATTATTTATGTTTAAAATAAATGAAAAGACTATGAAATATATTGGATTGGCAAGAAAGTAATTTTGGTTTGTTAGTATGAAATATTATTTTCTTGCCAATCCAATAATATTATATATATATTAATTAAAATATATAATATATATTAATAAATATAATAATATAAATATAAATTTAAATTTAAATTTAATATAACATAAATTACTATTATTTTATTTAAATTTTTATAAATATAAATATAAACTTATTATAAATAAATATATTATTATATGTATTAATAAAATACTTATATTATTTTATAATATAATATATAATTAATATACTATATATTAATATATAAATATTTACTCTTACTACCGAAATTACTTTTTTGCCAACTCAATATATTATTTCGTTTATTAATATATAAATTACAAAGGTTTATATCTTCAGCAAATAAATGCAATACGTTTAACGTATTTATACGTCCAACCCATTTAACAGGTTAATCGATTTGTTTCTATCAGAAAATAGAAATAGATAAACGTGAGATTTACAGGTGATTAAACTACGGACTTTGATTTAATCAAGATAATCGTATTTCGATAGACCTGTATATATCTACTTGTATATCAATATAAAATTATACCAATGTAGATTAGAAGACAGAGGAGGGTGGTGGGGTATCTGGTATATAATGTATACTTATCATACTTTAGTAGGAATCGAATATTTCGTGACTAAACAATTCTTAGAGGTCCAATGTTTTTGTGTATACTTAACTAGTAAACAACAACCAAGAGACATGGGACGGAATTAAATGGCCTTGTTTACGGTTCAAAACGATTTCCCAATCTTCACATTTTAAGGTAGATATTGCAAATGTTTTGTTAATATCACGAAAAAGTCGTATTTTTTGCTATTTAAATGGTTAACTGGGTTCGACGAGTTAACACGTCATGCAAAAATTTACTAATTAAATTTTAACTTTCTTTTTTTTCAAACGAAACATATTTTTAAATTACAAGATGAGTAAGAATAAATTGAACATTTGTAAATTACTGTTGGTCTTTTTATTTTTTTATTTTTAGTTTATTTTATTTTGAAAATGAGAAATTTTAGCTTTTACTTTGTTATCAGTCGAATTTCACAAAACACAGCAGTGCGTCACAGGTTAACTGGTTAACGTAGAGTTTGTTTTTTGTGTTACACGTTCAAAACGATCCAATGACAAAGACAAGAAGAACAATAGATTTTATGTTATATTCTTTCTATTTAAAAACAAAACAAAAAACCATAAATATCAGTTAAACTCAAATTATATAGTATATTGGTTTGCCAAAGTTTTATTGCAAAATGTAAGTCTTTTATCTCATTAGTTATCGTTCAAATAAAAATTATATTTATGATTTGTATTATTAGGATAGACGATGATTAATGACACAGGATGACACACACACATAATTATACACCGTGTAAAATTTCTTTTTTTATTTTAATTGGAAATAATTGTACTATTTAATATGACTTGCACTTTGTCTTTTTGTTTCCTTCTTTTGTTTTTTTCTTTTCATGAAAAAAGTATTTAGACATTTAACATATGTGTTCTTCAATCGATGCCATAAACGTCACCACCCTTTCTGTAATCCGCATTAGCGTGTATTGTACCATTATGACAAAATATTACACATACAACGCTACCACGATCTCTATAACGAGCCGTTTTGTATCCCAAATTCTTCAAACCGTCAATCACCTGTTTGGGTACACCATACTCATAAGCAACCTCAGCTGGAAATAATTGATGATGTATTCTAGGTGCATCAACAGCTTCTTTAACGGTGTTACCCATCCATAGAATTTTGGCAATAACCTAAAAATCAGTTAAGAATGAAGATACATGGTACCAGAACTTGGAAGGATTCAAAACTTTGGATACAAAATATGTTGTATTCAATTACTTGAATACATTTAACAAATCCAGTTATTTTTAGTGAAACAAATATATATTGGTTATTGTTTATACAAATATATATTTTAACAAATATATATTGTTTATATTATATAAACAAATATATATTGGTTTTTAGTGAAATAAATATATATTGGTTGGCAACTAAGACATTGCGGATTTTGTTTTAGATCTAATTCAGTTTTTTTTGATAGCAAAGATCAGAAATTTGATGAACGTGGCATTAAGACAATGCCTGAATAAACTTATATTTTTAAGCAAAAACTTAGAATTTTCATTCTTATTTAAAATCACCAATCACTTAGTTGCCAACCTAATATATATATATCTATATATCTATATTATTATACCTGAGAAACAGCAGTCGTTATTTTAGTACCACCAGATGCACCAACGACTAATCTAACATCTCCATTTTCATCTACAAAAATGGAAGGTACCATTGAGGACATTGGTCGTTTTCCAGGTTCAATATAATTGTTGGGACTAGGTGGAACTCCAAAATAATTAGTTTTAAATGGTATTCCAAAATCATCCATGGCATTGTTAAATAAAATACCAGTTCTCTCACTTGTTACTGCACTACCAAAGCTACAAATAAAAAGTGTTACACATTGAGGTTGAGTTTATTTAGACCAAATGATATAATAAATGATGTACAAACTAGTAATTAATCGTGCTGGTAACTGAAACAGCATCACCATTTGGTGCTAAAACTGAAAAATGAGCTGTTCCATGATCTTCAGTATTACTATAAATGGAAGCCCCATAATGTTGTGGATCATTCCAAGTTCTGGTATCTTGTATCTTCATTCTTATCTGATTCGCATAATCTTTCGACGTTAAATTAATGTTTAACTATAAATAAGAAATTACGTTATATATTTCAAGTTTCTGTTTTCATATTTATAAATAATACGTTATATTATATATAGGGTGATTCACCAGCCCTTATCATCTAAATAGCTTCGAAAGGAAAGTGAATAAGTAAACAGTTACATGACAAATTTAGGACTACAATATATATATAATGTATAATATATAATATATAAAATATAAAAATATATAATAATAAATAATAAAAAATATAATATAACGTATTATATACTAATTAGATATATAAAATATTTAATATATATTTAAAAAAAACAAAACATACCTCAGTCATATCGACAAAATCCTTATCTCCCATGTTACCTCTTAAGGCATAAGCGTATTTGTAGGTTTCTAACATTCTATGATAAGTTACGATGGTTGAATTGAAGTCTGACAAACTCTCAGACGTAAATTGGAAGCCATCGAAAATGTTTAGAATAAAACTGAGCAAACTTCCGCTACCTGGGGCTCCAGGTGTAAAAAGTTTCATACCATTTGAAAATTTTTCTTCAACTGGTTCCTCCCATGTTGCTCTGTACGATGTTTAAACAAACAAACAAACAAACAACAATTGTCATTGATTTCTATAAAGTTACTTACTTAATAAACTTATGATAATATAATAATCAACTCATAATAATGAATTAACTCATGAATAACTCATGAACAACAAATAACTCATGATAATGAATTAACACTAGATTTACAGGCATTGTCTGTATACCTTTTTCTTTTTTTTTTTTTACTCAAATCCATCTTTTTGACGGATGCAATTTTGTTTGAAATTATTTCATTAAAAAGCTATAGGATTTTCATTGACTGTTGTCTTCAATACATTTTTTACATGTAAACTCTATCTTATAATCTTTCACTTTGATCTACTTGTTTTTATAAAATAATAAGAGATGCTTCAGTTCCAAAAATAATTTCTTTTACCGACAAAGCTCACCAGTGAACTGTGAGTATTTGTGATATGAGAAGGTTTGATCTAACTGTATACAACAAGTCAAAACTTGTTTTGCTCATGTATTTACTCGGAAAATAATCGTCATTTGTTTAGTGTTGTTTTTTCTTATTCATTGTTATTTCATTTTGATTATTTCCAAATGTTGTATATCTGTATAACTTAACCCGTCAAATGAACGAATTTTCGTAAATTGAGGTATACCACATCTGGAAATAATAAAATAAAGGTATTCCAGAAAAAATGACTACAAATATATATTCACTGCATTATACAATTAAAAACTAATATGTAATATTTAAAGAATAATGTTTGCATGTTCAGAATTGTGAAACATTCAATCGAATGTTTCCGTCATTTTGACGGGTTACATAAATCTAGTGTTAACATGATTTATAAAATAATAATAATAATAATAATACCTAAATGCATTGAAATCCTTCATGGTAATAATACTGCCTCTCTTTTGTAAATCTTCAACAACCGTTTGACCAAGGGTTCCATTGTACAATACTGTTGCATTCTCTTTAGCAATTGTTTTTAACGTTTCACATAACGTTTTGGGTCTTACGATCGAACCTATGTTGATCAATTTGTTCGTTTTTGGATCGACGAATAATTTCCTAATGATTTTTCAACAACAAATAGAAAATATCAATGAGTCTAAGATAAAAGTTTTGAAAAACTAAAGAATTAAAAATGAAATTGTATGACTAACTTTAAAGTAGGATCCGAGTAAATATTTTTCTCGTTGAGTTCAAATCCGTTGTATTGAAATTTGGTTACGTTGTAACCATTTTCACATAATTCAATACTTGGTTGAAATAAATCAGCCCATGGTAATTTGCCAAATCTTTTATGAGCTTCCCAATAACCTGCCACTTCTCCAGGTACGGCAATAGATAGTGGACCTAAAATCATTTGATTATAATATAATATAATATGAACAATAATAAATGGGTTGTCTGGAAAGTTCGTGCCGATTTTGAGGAAAGATTGAAATGTAATAAATTTAAGTTGTTTTTTTTTTATTGTGGTATATATTTATTAAATTATATATAAGTAGCCATTATGTTGCACAACCTTTCTTCATCTTTAAGGGTAACTTTAAAATTTCGTTCTTGCAAAACTTCTTAGATTTTTTCAGCAATTTTGTGCAACCAATCGAACTTGTCAGGTTTTTTTTCAGCAATTTTATGCAACCAACCGAAAATCGGCATGAATTTTTCAGACAACCCAATGGAGATGAAATATTTTATATATTTTATAAAAATTAATCGAAAGAATAAGAAGAAAATCAATTGATTATAAAAGGTTCTTTTGATCATAAGATAAATTATAGAAAATAAGAAAATAGTAAGATTGATAGAATAAAATATAAATAAAATGTTATTTACCCATTGAAGAAACGTGTTTAGGTTTACCAATAAACATAGTAGCATTAGCTGCTAATGGTGCCCTATCTCTAGCATTTAACACGTAAGCTTTACCAGCAGATTTATCATAAATCGTCATAAGAAATCCACCACCTAGACCCATACTTTGCATATTTACGAGACCATCGCATATCATTGATGCAATCGTTGCATCCACTGCCGAGCCATTTTTTTCCAATATATTTCTAAAAAGTTGATAAAATAATATTATAATTACAACATTGATTTACGACAGTTTTCCTTTAAATGATAATTATTGAAATGAATAAATGATAATAGTTAATTTATTATTGATGTAAAACAACGTTAGTTTGAAACTACATATTGAATTGTTTTTTTTCTTTTTTGTATAAATATTTTTTTTGACAAAATGTTAATTTATTAAAAATAAATGTACAAACTTTTGTTTCAATAATAAAAATAATATAATAAATAATAAAATATAATAATAAAAAAAAATAATAGGATAAGGAAAATGTTAAATAAATAATTTTTAAAATTGATTATCACCCACTTGCCAATGACAGCACATGGTGCACCATCGGCACAAACGGCACCACGTTTAAAGACCCTCAATTTGCTCCAGGATGGTGGCTGGTTGTATTCCGGATCTGGTGGCACCAGTGTACCTTCATTTTCGTGATATTTTAAACTGTCATGGATGGCGTAAAGGCCAACGGCAATGATTATTTTGAGGATCACTGCAACCACGATACCAATTATGATCACACCTTTCGTGCGAAAACGAGATCTGAAAGATTATAACCATTCATTCAGACAAACCGTTTGGTGCTCAAGTGTCATTCGTTTCTCTATTCTCTTTTGTTTGTTTATTTATTTTTTTAAATTTATTTTTTTGTTTTCTTCATATATATATATGAACGTTATTACGTTCATACTCATTTCACATTATATGTTATCGTAAATCGTAAAATTTTTTAACGTTTAAACATATAAATGCAAATTTACTAAATTAAGTAGTAACTAAGTATATAATGTACTTATATACTTATATATATATAAGTACTTATATAATATAGCACTTATGTAATATATATTATAATACAAACTATGATCATATATATATATATATATATATATATATATATATATTATAATAATATATAATATATAATATATATATATAATAATATTATTTTTTATATATAATAAAAAATTTAAAGAATAATATAAAATATAATATAAAATATTATAATTATTATATATAATTATAAATAATATTATAAATATTATAAATATTATATATATATAAAGAAAACAATGTTTTTTATATAATGTTTTTTCTATTTTAATTTAATATTTATTATATTTAACATAGTAATTTATGAATAATTTATTAAAACAATTATTATATATAACATAACTTATAAATAAACAAACAATATAAAAAAAATAGAAAAAAAAGAGTGGGGAAGATATAATAATGTAAGAAAAAATTTGCCATAAAAAAATATAAGCTTATTTGGGGAGGAAAAAAAATAATAATAATAATAAAGTTAGTATTTAATAATAAAATTATTATTAAAAGAAATCTCGTATTGTTATAGTAAAAAAAAAATTTTGTTTTTATTTCAAAAACTATTCTATCAACGATTCTAGAACTTTTCAAGGACTACGATAAATATAAATATATAAATATTCAAAAACTAAAGTTCTTAGAATAATAAAATATTAATATCATAATATTGTTATTCATTTCTATGAATAAGTAGTTTAAATGACGTTTTTAACGATAAAAAAGAAAAAATGAATAAATACCGCCGATAAAACAACTGCTCAATAACAGAGTCTTTAGTTCTTAGACAGAATAGTTGCTGAACATATCGTTGAGACTACATTCTTAATAAGTAAGTGATTTTCTATTTAACCTTTTTCTATTTCATAATAAATAATATAATATATTATATTATTAATTGTACATTTAATGGCATATATCAAAAGTATGTAAAAATTGTTAGATATTTTATGGAAAATATAATGAATAATGAAATGTATGTCAATTGCAAAATACTAACGAATTGTATATATATATAAGCCATATATATATATATAACCAAATATATATATAACCAAAATTTATGTTATGCCTTGGGAGAAGAATTAACTTTCTTTTGAAATAACTAACACGAGATTTTAATGTCTAAACTATAGTCACATTTAATTGTTTATTTTGATAACGTAAAGTCGCACTTCAACTGGAAAACTAATTATTAATTGTTAAATGCTAACTAAATTGTTATTATTAATTCTGAAGTTAATTTTATAATATAAAATTAACGTAAGATATTTTATTACGATTCTTTAATTTATTCTCAAATACATTCTGTAACTAGGAATGCATAACGATTCGTAGTTTATTCTGTGAGTACCATTTTGTTATATATATATATATGGAATGACTGAGAGATTTCTCTTTCTGCAGACGTTATGACGTAGAATGCATTTAATGTTAGTGCAGTATATCGCATAATAAAAAAAAAAAAAAGACATTGACTCTTGAGTAATCTTTCGTAATTTCTACTTCGATTTCTCGAACTCGATTGATATCGAATTAAATCGTAACTATGGTCGACAGTATAGAACTTGAAATTATCGATATATATATATACAAGGGTTTTATTAAAATAAATGTAACCAAAAGAAATTATTAAATCTTTCGTATAAAGAAAAGGGTTCGGGGGGTTGCAAAATAACAAAAAAATAAAAATAAAAAAAAAAAGAAAAAAGAGGAAAAAAAGAAAATTCTTCGACAAAACTAAGCGTGACTCACGTGTCAACGCGTAAATTCTCGAAGAATCCTTTAGATTTTCCAATTGAATTATCGTTCTGGTATGTTGGCAAAAGTCGTGCCGTTCCGGTGTTTTCCAATTCTTGATAATTGCATCTATTATCGTCGGTTGAATATCGTCGAGTATTATTACCGTCTACGTTTATACAAAGAGATGTGGTACTTGATGACGCAGTTGAACTCATCGTTTTTCTCTGTACGAAAAGTCCAAAAGAAAAAGAAAAAGAAAAAGAGAAAGAAGAGACAAATTTACGTTAAATTCTTTTTTGGTGTTTTCTTTTTAAATAAATAATAAAGGAAATTAGAAAATATAGAAGTGGGGGTAACGATCCTAACATCCAGTAATGTATACGTTTTCTTTTCTACGATCTTATTCGTTCATTCAAATTATGCGCCAAAATGTAACGTTCGTCAATTGCAAATTTGTCTTCTAAATTATCGATATTTTCGATAAAAATAACAAGTTTTTTTTTATCGAAATACGAATTTTCGTTTAAATTATACTCGTAATCATTTGTTATTTCTATCAATACTTTAGAAAATGAAAGTTTTTTTTTTTCCAAATAAATCTCTTTTCTACGATCTCATTCGTTCATTCAAATTACGCGCCAAAATGTAACGTTCGTCAATTGCAATTTTTTCCACCAATTATATCGACGTTTTTCATCAAAACAAAATGGATTTTTTTCAAAATATGAATTTACGTTTGAAATGATGATCACGATCATTTGTTATTCTTAGAAATACTTTAAAAAAATGTAAATTAATCATGATATTATTATACATATGTATATATACTGGAAGGTTAGGTTGCGATACCTCGACAAATATCTCGATAGAAAATCTCAACGACATCTCTGCGAAACTCGAGAACTTACACGAAATGCTCGTTTTTTCTCGATGAACTGCATTCACGTTTACATTCCTCACTGATTTCATTCAACAACAGCAAGTAGTTAACATTTCCTTAAAATAATTTCGTCGTCGTCTCATGTCGACTAATTCGAAGGTACCAAAATGGAGGTGGGTTTTCACGAACACTCGAGAAAACAAATGCGGTTTTACACCCGTTCTGAACCTACGACACGGTGTTTGAAAATATCATCTACTGACCTAGAAGAGAGAAAGATAGAAACACAGAAAGAGAGAGAGAGAGAGAGAGAAAGAGTAAGAGAGAGAGAGGAGATTATCAGCTGACCGTGAAAAATCGAACCGAGCATGCGTAGGTCTGTCCTTGCATTGCAGTTTATCTGCTATTGTCAACGTCGAGGACGCCCTCGAGGACGTTCTCAGAAAGCGTCAGAAAGCGCCGATGAAAACGCCTACGAAGGTTCACATCCAAAGAATAATATATATATGTATATACATAAACATTGGAACGAGTTACCGGTTAATTAACGATAAATCAGATTATTACATTTCATCAAAGTTAAATGAAATTTTCTTCTTTAGTATATTTTTCTTAATCCTATCGAATCTTCGATCCAAGTACAAAGTTGTAAATAAAAAAACTAACTAAATAAAATAATAAACAAGTGTTTTATCCAATAACAAATAGAAATTACGTTGAAAGTACTCAACCATAAATGTTAAATATTCATTTTTTGTTTTTAATAATTAAATTCCATTTTGAATAATAAGTCAATGATTTTAAATTGACATTCAATAAATAAAAAAAAAATAAAAAAATAAAACAAAAGTAAAGAGAAACTAAAAAAACATAAATTACAAGCTCGAAATAATACATTTGACGAAATCGGAGATGACAAGAATAATGCTAATCAATGGATATTCGTAACCAAAAATTTTTGTCCACTGGTCATTGTCACGAGCGATTCACGATGTGTAATTAAATTATACTGAGGGAGAGATGGGGTAAGGGGAAAGGGCATGGGGGACCTTCCTTTATGTTCTTAGTCAAGGAAAAAGAGAGAAAGAGAGAAAGAGAGAGAGAGGGAGAGAAGAGGGAGAAAAAAGAATGCGGGTTCGTCAACCCGTTGGAACGTTCCACGACCGTATCACGACAGTTTCACGTTCGTGACGTGCCTGTTGAAATTCCCTCCTCCACCTCCTTCTTCTTCTCCTTATTCTTCTTCTCCTTCTTCTTCTCCTCCTCCACCTCCTCCTCATCTCTTTTTATTAATCATTTATCCTTTTTTCTTTGTTTTTTTTTCATGCGAATCGTCATTTTTCAATTCTTTCTTTATCCTTCGTATTTTAACATTGTAAAATCTAACCTATCATACGCCATTTTTTCTTTTTTCCCGCCATTATTTCTTTTTTCCCGCCATTTCTTTGTTGTCTTTTACTTTATCTTTTCTTATCTATTCAAATGAACAACCGGTTTAGATTAAAAGAAAGAAATATAGATAGATAGATAGATAGATAGTTAGATGAATAGATAAATAGATGAAAAATAAAATAAACTTATTTAATGCAAGTATAGAATAGATTTGATCGTTGATCGAAGAATTTCATTCTCGTGTAATTTAGTTGAAAATTGTCAACGATTGAACATTCGTACAAAAATATGTAAAATGAAAAGGGGAGGGGAAAGGAATATCTTACAATCGAAATACTTATAAATTGCTTACGTAACATCATTTCAGGTTACCCTATCGTATCTTATAATAAGTCAGTGGAAAAAGTTAGTCATTGGTAGCAAAAGGGTACGACGATAACTCTTTTATTGCCCTCGATTTCGTTCGATATTTTCTCGTTTGCTAATCTTCTGCCCCAAATTGATCGATCAAAATTATTTACAAGGAATTTTGTTATACGATTAAATTGTAAATATATATATATATATATATATATATATATATTTCAATTGGGATTATTTTAAGATGAGATTTATTCTTATTATTATTAGGGCCATTAGAATAAATCAAAAGTTTGTAAATTATTTCAGTGAACATATCACTAATTAAATTTTTATATAACAAATAATATAATTCATTGTATAATTATATATATATATA